AGCTGCAGCATCAACCCACGATCTTTCTCCTTTGGTTTTCCACCTTTTTTTTTGGTTCCTAACTTTTTTTTTTGGCCCCTAAGGAATTTATATACATTACGAGGATTTTAGGTCATCTAGTACCAGCAGAACTAGAAGTTGTCTTGATTATACTTTATAACTGCACGTCACTAACACTTCTGCCTTTCTAGGACATGCTTCTGTCCTTTGAAGGACAGACTCTTTATTCTACCTACTCCAAACATGAGGATGATCAACATCATCATGTCCTAATTTTTTTTCCCTCTCTTTGTTTCATGTTTTCCCTGTCCCTCTAGTTCTCCTTGGAGGCAAAAATCAGGGGCAAGAGATTCAGGGAGCTCAGAAGTGGAATCAGTGAAAGAACACTGCTGATGACACTAACAGAATTAATAATGAACTGACATTTATTAGCATTTACATAAGCCAGGAACTGAGCAAACACTTTACACATGTTCTCTCATTGGAACCTGGACACCCTAAGAGGAACTGGACCACAGAGTGCTAAGCCACCTGCTCAGGTACACACAGCCAGGAAGTGGTAGAGATGCCAACCTCAGGCATTCAAAGCCAGAGCCTGCAATGGCCTGCAGTCTCCCGCCAGTATTCCAATGTAAATGTTGAAATTCCTCTTCTTCATTTCATATCCCCTTTACTTCCCTCCCCTGACACAGTATCTACTTAGCCTTTTCATCTCTTCTCTGGTTAGACTGGCAAGGGAATATTATGTGAATAAGATGTCTGGCGGTAACTCCTGGCTATGCTGCAGGACCCGGCTCAGGTGACACCTCCTCCAGGAGGCTTTCATGGTTGCCTGCAGGGGGACCCATGCCCCTCTCAGGGTTCCTGTAAGCATACTGAACCACAGTTATTTCATTCTGTGAACCTCTCCTGCTGTGCTATGAGCTTCCTGAGAGTAGAGACAGTCTCCCATTCCTTTTTGTATCTCAAGCACATAGCACAGGTCTGGGCACATAGGAGACATTAGGTAAAACATTTGATGAATGAATGAATGAATGATTAGAAGTCATCTTTCATGGAGATCAGGGCCTCAGCTAAATATATTTCCAAGGATGTGGATGTTTCTTTATTATTCTAAAAAATACTAACTTTACTTGTGTTCTGAACGCATGCAATGATCTCTCTAGAGGTACATCTTTTTCTGATTTATATGTGAAGTCGCTTTCAAATCACTAAGGTGTCACAGGACAAGCAGGGATGCACCTAGGGTCCTGTGACCTTACTCAGCTCAGCCTTGTCCTGGGCCTGGGGAAGTCTGCCGCCTCACGGCTTCAGTCCAGCTACGTGTCTTCCATCCAGTTTGAGGAACATTCTGTTTTGCCCTGTGCCCAAGTGTCCCTCTCCCCCGTTGTGACAGCATGCTGACCAGATGTTGCTTCCTCTGTGGGTGGCCACTCTGGGAAGCCCTGCGAATTTTTGCAAACTGATCCATTTATCCTGGAAGCAGCATTTTGGCATCTTTTTATTCTCCTCACCCCAGGACGCAACTTCATGCAGATGCCCTTTTAAAAAATTGTAACAAATCCAGGCAGAGGTATAAATCCACCTGACCATGGCTGGCCCTGTAGGCAACTCTGGTTCCCACTCATTAAAGGTGATAAACCGTATTGCTTTCTTAGAAATAGCATCGAGATGTCTCAGTCACCCGACTCCTATTAAACCATGCGATGCTTCGTGCTCCAAAGCCTGACTGGAAACGTTCCTCTTCTGAAAGAAGGAAAACCACATACACTCAGGAACACAGTTCTTTTTAATTGACCCAGATGGGACGTGTTAGTACCGCTCCTCTCACTCCATAATAAATCCTTGTAATTAGATAACAAATATGTATTATATATGCCAGAAGCATTTCTCAGCATAGAAAAGTGAGGTGAGAACTGAGAAGCTATGGATGAGCAAAGTGGTAATTTTTTCATACTTAGATGAAGTAGAAAGGTTATACTCAAGGTGCACACAGCGGGGCTTTGAGGAAACTCACTGATCTCAGGCTTCTGCTCTGTCGGTGGGTCAGAGAGAAGAAAGTTGCATGGTTAAGAGCATTGGCCTCAGTTAGACAGGCTTTGGTTTGAACCCCATCTCTGCAACGCAGTAGCTGTGTGATGCTAGGCAAATTGCCTAACCACTCTGAACTTCCGTTTGCTCCTCAGTAAAATGAAACTAATTCTTCCTACATCAGACGGTTGTTATGAAGATTAAATGAGAAATTATGATGCCAAGGCAGGCAGATAAAGCAAGAGCTATCTTGTTAAGAGTGCCAAATCCATCAACAGCCAGGGCCACGTTGGATAAAGCAGGCTGCTGAGAGACTCAGCAGGTAAGTTTCCATAAGGGAAAAGGGCAAGAAAGAGGCAATGAATGGCCCCAGGCATAGAACAATAAGGCAAAGGGGAAACCTTGGTGATCAGGTCACCCGTGGAGCATAAAATTAAAAGGGTAGAATGGTGCTGAAAGCCAGGGGGTGGCAGGGGGGAGGATAAGAGAGAAGACTGGAGTCCAACTTCACCAGTTTGAAAATTCTGCTCTAGGTGAGAATTAAAGACAAGATGGATATTTTGGAAACTGGAGCCATTTCTAAGATTCCTATTGAATGATCTGATTGTGTAAAAATTCATGAGTCATCATGAATCCTCATCCTGCATTTCATTTTAGGCTTAAGTCAGGCTGCATTTGAGGAAGAAATGCAGGAAGTCGTAAGTCCCTGTGATAAAGTGGGCTCAAGTCCCTGCCAGCGGTGACTGCGCGGCTTCCCGCAGCCCACGCCGATGCTGGCAGCCCAGCTCTGGATTCGCCCCCAGTTTATTCCTCAGGGCAGGCGTTGGAAGCTAGCCTACTGCATGGAGCCGCCAAGGGCACAGAGAACCCTCAAGTCCTGGGCCTGAACAAGCCAGTGGCCCAACAATATGCATTGTGTTCATATTCTATTCAAAATGAAGCAATTATCCCCAGTGAGTAAAACTGGGCTAGTGGGCAAAAGCCTTTGGGAGACGACTTGACCCAGTATCAGGAAAGGCTTCCTCACAGTCAGAAGTGACCAAAGGATAGACTATAACGCAGTAAGATCTGGGAGGAGGGTCTAGCTCAGTGATGGAGCCGGTGCTTGGCATGCACGAAGTCCTGGGTTCAATCCCCAGGACCTCCATTTAAATAAGTAAACAAATAAACCTAATTACCTCTCCCCTCCTAAAAAAGTAGTAAAATCACCATCACCAAACGTGTTTCAGGCAGAGGCTGGCTTGTAGAAATCCAGATTTTAAAGAGGAAGTTGGACTTGATGAATTGAAAGTTCCTTTCTAATTTCCCAGCCCCACAAAATAGAAGGCATGACCTCCAATTATAACAAACTTGCCCTTAAAAAAAAATTTACCCTTTCACCAAGAAAACAGAAATTGTGAAAATTATAGCAGATCCAAAGCAATATACAATAAGTCAAATTAAAAGTCTAAAAACTCGGAACAGCAATTCCAGCTTTCCTGAGAAAGTTCAAGACAAACCTGAAATTCCTTCACACCTGAAGAAAATTCAGTAATTAGCATAAGCAGTATTTAGGCTGGGTTCCTGGTAGTGAGGATAAAAAAGAAGTACACAGATGATTTAGAGCCAGAGAATTTGGTACACAAACTCCCAGGCAGATTCCTATTTAAATATAGTACAGAGCATGATGCTTGCCAATAAAAAATAATAATAACCTCAAATAAACAGTTGCTTTGCCATGTCATGAGAAAAATCAGATCTTGGGCTCTATTTCCTGTGTTTGTGCACACAATGAATCCGTGCTCCGTATTTTGCTTTGCAAGAAATGAGAATTCAAAGTCATGGCTTTCCAAACTTCATTGTTAATTCAGAAGATAGAATATGTGATCTCACGATTTCCCATAGGCTTTGGAATCATTATTTATTCATTCTTCATTTCTGACAATGAAGATTAGAAAAGGCATCCTTCATCCTACTAAGATGCATCAGCTAGAAACAGGAACTAGAGACAAAAATTAACTAGAGCCTTGCTACTCATTGTGGTCCACAGACCAGCAGCTCCTCCCACCCTCACGCCCACCCTCAGATCTGCTGAATCGGGATTTGCATTGTAACGTGATCCCGGTGATTTGTGTGTACCTTAAAATCTGAGAAGCCCTAAACTAGGAATCAGTGATTCTGTTGCAACCTTCTGACCTTCACCATCTGAAAGCTTTAAGAGGAAACAGCAGCCTCGGGTAGACAAAAAGAGGAGAAAATTACTCCGATCGTAATCATTAATGGAATCACTGATCAAGCCATTTGCATTGTTTTAGCAAATTTTCTATTGTTAACATGGTACAGCCGCGCTTCAAATGGGCTGGCAGAGCCTCTGGCCTGTTCTGACCCAAATCAGCTGATTAGTCTCGGTTAGTTACTAGGCTTCAGGGGAAGGGATAGAAAAGCCTTCAACAAGGGCCTCTACAAGGAAAGACAGCTGTTTCTCATAAAGTGCCATGAATGAGCCTAGCAGGGCTTCATCCTTTATAACCTGCAACCTTCCTGCCTCTGGCGGCAGAGAGAAGCTCTTTCCTGCTAGGGTGGCTCCTGAGACTCCAAGAGCCGCTACAAGAGCTCGGATGTGCCAGCGGACGGGAGATTTTTGAGCCTCCAGGTATGAGAAATATACAAAACAAAAATAAAGTATTTCCTAGAATACTTCCTCAATTCAAAATGACCACTGATTGCAGAAATGCCATAGATCTAACAGCAGTTTTTTAGGAGGGGTGCTCAACACTTCTCCGTGTAAGTCACAGATATGTCCCCCATGCTTAAAACGTAAAATTGAGGAAGGCAGGATTTGTGGGAATTGATCTTAGAACCCTGAAATTTTGGCAGACTGGTGCTTGACAATGTCATTGGCCAGGTTTGCTGATGGATATTCGTGATTAAGTCTTTACATCGCTCCCTGCAATTGCATACAAAAATATGATGTTCAATGTTTTCTGCAGGCATCTGTTTTGCTGCAGGACCGAAATAGACCCCAAAGAGCTACAAGGAAGAGAAATATCAAGATCCTACCTTCTCCAAAGAAATCTGGATTGAAAATCAGGTAAGTCTAAGAGTTTTGTGCTCCTGCAAAACTTTGTCTTTGGTGACCTGGGGCCTGAGTCTGATCACCTAATGAGCCACACTTCACGAAGAAAGACCATCGAATCATGGGTGTGTACATGTGTGGCAGGGGGAACTGGGTACTGGTCAGAAGCAGAGACAGAAACTGTGATCCTAAAAGGGGTCAAAAATTGTCCCCCAAACACATAGTGAGTCAGTGAAATTGTGGTTCCCTAACGTGCAAGGTCAGTGTCTTTCACGCGGCCATACACACCTCCTACTTCATTCTAGATTTTTCTGGTGTAACAGTCAAGCTCTTTTAAATGAGTGAGATTCCTCCATCTCTAGCGCCAGCCTGGGAGAAGCACACCAATTATGAAGCACAGAGAGTGTCATCAGGAAATCCCAAGTAGGAGTTCTAAGCGTAGACCAAAGCCAGGCAGTGACCTTCCCCATCCTGCCTGGGTACAAAATCCTCAAATAACTAAGGCCACGTGTCCCGGAATGCACAATGAATCATGCTTTGTCAAGGGAAAAATACTTTTTTCCTATGTCCTTCTGAAAAGTTGGTTACTACCTTTTTTTTTTTAATTTTAAATACGAGGATTTTCCACAAACTAAATTTATCATAGAAAAAGTCAGAAGGAAGAATCCTATGCGTTAAGAGTGGAAAAAAGAAAAACTGTGTCACCAGAAATTGTGGTCATTTTTGCATTTGTAGACCTTTATCTGAATTTTAAAAAAAGAAAGAAAAAGAAGGAAAAATTGAGGTGGGTATTTATAAAAGGCAGAAGCTTTTAGAAGAATTCCTCTTAGAGGCCTCAGGCTTTCAAGGAGACGCAGGGCGCGTTCTTCTTTCCCCTGAATCCTAAAGCTCCCTCTAGTGACCAAGAACACAACACCGACCACAGGTACACAGAACAAACATTTTCTCAAGCCTCTTGTTCTTAGCTAGCACCTTGAGGTTTCTACCTCATTTTTCACGTACATCTGATCATTTAACACAACAGGTGTAGGAAGTAGGAAATAAAGTATTCTTACGCCCATTTTAATAGATAAGTAAACTGAGGCTCAGCTGGGGCCGAGACTTGTGCAATGTCACACAGCTGATAAAAAGGGACCTAAGACCTGGAGGCCAGGTCCCCTGTGTTGTTCTGCTGCACTGTCTCATGTTCTGTGACGATCATGTAAACTTATCCTTGAGTATTCTCACCGAAAGGTGCATGGAAGCACTTTTTGAAGGATTTACAGTAAGTGATTCTTGGCTTTCAGGGATCCCTTTGAGAATCTGATGAGAGCTATGGGCCCAAACCTACACATTTTCCCCTACAGCATCAGGAAATCCATGGGCCACCCTGAAGGGTATCAAGTGACCCTGTAGAACTCCAAGGACCCGACATTAAGAAGCCATCAACATCTACTGGGTACCACCTTGAAATAGCAAGAACTCAAGGAATATGAACTTTGAAATGCCTTACTCTTACCTTTAATTATACTGTTCTGCCTGCTTATTCAGTTATCCTTTCAGCATTGTTCAGAGTATTTAAAAGGATTGAAAAAAATTAGTATATATTTGCTACCGTTTGAGGAAAAGCCTGTGGATGTTGCCATCAGTGCATTCTAGCACTCCCACAGGCATGCCTGGGATTAGTGGCAAATGGGGATGTTTCTAGGAAAGTAGCAATTTGAAAGCGTGTTTTCGAATATAAGAGCACACCACAGCCTCACCGGCTGGCTCTGTGGAGAGTCTAAAAAGGCATCATAGTGAATATATGAAGAACTTTTCTCAGTGAACAAAAACCAGTATTGCCTCTAAATTCTTAGTTCATTTCATCTTGCCGTTTCCAGTGGCTTTAGAAAAGCCTGGATGAACAGAGATGGTTTGCTGGTTCACATAAGTCTCTTCCACTTAAGCTCCATGAGGGTGGGGACCACTTCTCTATGGATCAGCATCCAGCATGGCCCCCGGCACTAGTCCACACTCAACAGATGTTTGATGAATGACTGTGAAGTCTTCACTGAGACAGCTCCTCTGGAAAACTGCTCATTTCCCTCCCTAATTAATCAGTGGCCTCTGGTTTCATGGGACATTCCCTGGAACTCGTCACATAGGCAACCTCAGGTTCCAGATACCTGGCTATTCCAGAGAACAGAGAAAGTTCTGTTTTCTACTCTGGGAGCCATACCCACAGTCTAGATTGGGTGATAAACAAGCCTAAGGAATGGTAACAGCTTCCCAAGGGAGTCATCCTAGAAAGAGTAATAGAAGTTTAAAAGGGATGCTATTAAAATTTGAGTGAAAATGCGGTGCTCTAGGGAGTAGCGGAACATTCCGCCGTCAGGGCGAGTGGGAGTTCATCTGAGTTAGGAAGGCCTTTGGACCATCTCACGTACCCTCTACTTAACACAACCTTCCATTTCTCTGAGCTTTTATCATGCAGCCTCTCTTGGCTTCTCACTGACCCTGCCTGCCTGTTGAGATGTCACCTCAAAAGGTATCTTCTCCAGGTTCCCTGGTCAGCAGCTCTCACCTATTTCCATAGCAGAGTTCCTACATTTACAACTGAGCTCCGCTACATTCTTTCATAATTATATATATTGTCCCCTCCTCTCCCACATGCATTAAGCCCAAGAGCTGAAGGAGTTGCTGGTTTCAAGACTGGAGTAGGGCATACATTAATTAAAAAATATATTATTGCTAAAAAAAAAATGCCACCCATCATCTGACAACACAAACCTTCAACTTGTAAAATTTACAGTATCTATGAAATACAATAAAGCAAAGCACAACAGAACGAGGCAGGCCTGTACCAAATTCCCACAGTAAAAGATTCAATATTAAGATGACAATTGCCCTCCAAACTGAGCTATAGATTCAAAGCAATCTTAATCAGAACTCCGAGTATGTATTGTATAAACTGATTCTAAATTTTATACACATATGCAAAGGAACTAGAAGAAGAAAACAAAGTTGAAAAAGAAGAACAAAGTTGGAGGCTTTACACTAGCTAATTTCAGGACTCACTTTAAAGGTTTAGTCATCCAAACCGTGGTGCTGGAGGAGGGCTAGAGGCATAGCTCAATGGAACAGAACACAGTCCAGGAGCGATTCACGCTTATATGGCCAGTTCATTTTCAACAAACTTGCCTGGGTGATTCGATGGGGGAAAAGACGGTCTTTTCAACAAATGGTGCTAGAACAATTGGCTATCTCCACACAAATGCAAAGAAACAAATTTGATGCTTGCCTCATATTATATACAAAAATTAACTCAAAACGTTTCATAGACCTAAATGTAAAAGCTAAAACTATAAAATTTCTATAGAAAAAGTGTAGAAAAGAAAAAGTGGATTGGGGGAGAAAGAAGTGGGAGAGAATAAGAGAGCTGGCAGCAAAAGGAGGGCTCGGCTGGCATTGCTGGCTCTGAAGAGGGAAGGGGCTGCGGGCCAAGGAATGCAGGGGACCTCTGAAACTGAAAGGGTGGAGAAATATATTCTGCCCTAGAGCTTTTGGTAAAGAAGTCAGCTCTGCCAACACCTTGATTTTAGCCCAGTGAGATCCATGTCAGGCTTCTGATGACCTCTAGAATTGCAGAATAATGAATTTGTGTTGTTTTAAACCAAAGGGGGAAATAAAAAGAATGGACTGTTTTACTCTCCAGTTTAGGCTACTTATCTTGATTCTGGTAAAGCTTATTTTTTCAGTGACAACTGGCAACATTCCCATGAAAACCTGGGGGCTTCTCAGTGAAGAATTCTGGTCTGAGCCACTGCTAAAAGCTGGGATTTCAGGTGGCTGGGAGCTTTTCACCTACAATGCTCCTCTTTTCCCAAGTGCCCCATTGGATGTTTTATTTAAATCAAAGTTTCCCAAAGTTCTGAGCACCACCTTTGGGATTTTTGCCATAGCAAAGTAGCACCTGAACTGTTTACTAAATCTCTTTCTTCAAAGTAACTCAATTTTTAAGGACCACTTCTGCTTTATAAATAATAACCATAAAATATTAAGTTTGATGTGCTACTTGGTTTTTCCTAATATGCTTTAAAACAAAAACAAAACCATTAAAATGAAAAAAAATCTTTTGCATTAAAATAAACTCCTAACTATTAAAATTTCAAAAACAACTTTGCCTACGTACCCACAAAAACCACATTCAGGTGTCATCAGTGGGACGGCTCTGCCATTTTGTGAAATATTTTCCTAAACCTTTGCCAAACCTACCCCTTCATTCCCAGCAGGCTCCCCCATCTTCTGCCTTCTTAAGAAGAGAGTCCACTGGGCTTCAATTCCCTCAACCTTTTCCCTGTATCTTCCCACTCCACACGCACCCCTGAAAGCACACCTGCATCTGCTCTTATCCTTGCTTCTTCCTGCTCTGCTCTCAGAAGATGAGCTGCCCTTCTTTCTACTCAAGAAATGTCTGCTCACTGGTGTGCTGAAGCCCATCCTAATGCATTGCCTCGGGGATCTTACTCCACCAACTAATTCCTCTTTTGCTTGTACCAAATTATTTTAATTTGTGAAATGTATCAAGCACACAAAAACACATGAGCATATCTGTTTGGATTAAATAGTAAAATACAAGCATGTGTGTGCCCATCACTCAAGTTAATAGAGCACTACTACTACCTTCAGACTTGCTCTGTGTCTCCATTGTATCGCTCTCCCACTCAAGAGTAAGCTCTGGTCTTTTTTTTTTAAGATTTTAATGCCTATGCATGTAGACTTAAGCAACATATTATTTAGTTTTGCTTAGTTTTAAGTTTTATGTAAATGGAATCACATTGATGTATATTCTGTGGCTCACTTCTTTTATTCAATATTGTGTTTTGAAATTCACCCATTTGGGTGTGCTTAGCAGTTGCTCTTTATTTTCGCTTCTGTTGTGTATTTTATTTCATGACTAATCCACACGTTTCCTTCATTTTCATTTGTGTAGAATATTCCATTACATGACTAATCCACTATTTATTTGTCATGTTACTGTTGTTAGATATCTG